AGCCTATGAAGTATGCTGCCACCATCCTATTTCAGAGATGAGAAAACTGAGGCACAGAGAGAAAGCAGCTTGCCTAATGTCCCACAGCAAGAAAGGACCAGAGTGAGACCTGGAGCCCAGGCAAGCTAGCCTCAGAGACCACACTTTTCACCATACACAGTACTGCCCGAAAGGCAGGGTTCAGTGGTTCTTTCTGGGGAGTTATAAAGGCTTCAAGGGGGCACAGAGCCATGAGGGGGCTCTTCATAGACACAGAGATGCCAGAGAAGTGACGGCAGGGGGAGAAGTGACTTCAGGCCACTGGGTGCTTAGACAATGACAAGCAGCTGCGTATGGCTGGGTCTGTCTGAGAGTCTGGAAGGAGCCCAGGGCAGGAGGCTGGGTTCGAGGACAGTCCCCTACCTGCCATTGGTCACAGAGCACCTGGATGGACATACTGACCTAACACCTTAGAGAAGGCTGTGGAGGGACTTGAGTGCCAGGCTAACTTGGACCACACACAGAAGGCAATGGGAAGCCATGAGCACTTGGGGCAGGGAAAGCCAGGGCCAGGCTGTGTTGTGGGCACCATGGTTACACGGCCCTGGGCCTCCACCCCTCAACCTCCCCTGCCCTGCTCCCAGCCGCAGCTAGGCCTCAGCTAGGGGTGGCAGCCTTGCAGGGGGCACTCACTCACTCTCAGCTGGAGCCGCCCTACATTCTGACCCACTTTCCTGGGTGTGAGCAGAGCCATCAGGGAACAGAGCAGGGAGGCGTGAGGAGCAGGTGGTGGCAACAGCAAAGAGGTTCCAAAGGCCCTTATCACAGCCTCCCTGGTGGCAGGGTTATTTGTGTTCGGGCCTGTCTGCCCTGCCGGAGTGTGACAGTCGCGGCCACCACCGGGTGTCGGAGCCCTGCCTGCTTCCTGCCCTCAGAGCACCTGCTTCTCAGGACAGCCCAGGCAGGAAGACAGGAAATGTCACCCCAGCTCACAGATTTCCCAAGTCTGGGTGAGCTTGAGTCACAGACCCATGTACCTGTTTCATTTCCCAGACGGCAAAATCAATGTCCAAGGGACACGGGGTCTGGTGCTGGGGTCAGTAAGCAGGCTCTGTGAGATCTGCTGGGGTGTCTGAGGCATGCAGGGATGGGCACCCCAGCTCCTGCTGCCTTGAGTCCCACATGGCCCTCGGGCCTAACACAGCTATTAAGGCACGGAGTGGTGTCCAGGGAGCTGAGGGCTGAGTGGTGCTGAACAGGATCTGGCCGGGTTGGGCTCCCAGGATCTAAATTTCCCACAGACCTCTAAGTAGAGAAGCTGCCTGCCCACCTGCACTTTCTGGTCACGGTCCATAGCTGGGAAGATTTTCAGGTGGTGCAAACTAAGGGAAGCAGGGAGCCACCAGGTGGCCATGGGCAGAAGGGAGATTTTTCTTAAGGAAGTTTGGACCATTTTCTGATAACCTAGGAAAATGGAGTTCTGAAAATCAGAGGCTAACAAAATGTCCCCAAGCAGGCTGGCAGCTGACACCAGAGAGCCCATAACCCAGCCCTGGCGGCAGTCCAGCCTTCCAGAGGGCCAAGAGGCAGGAAGAGAAGGCCACAGAGGAAAGCGCTCAGAAGCTAGGCAAGCAACTCCCACCTGCATCCTGTGTCACCTGGCCTGCTCAGGTCCTCTCTGTCCCTCCCTGTTCAGAATCCCTTGTCCAGAGAATGACATCTACCCTGTCCGCTGGTGACAACAGAAAGTCTTGGCACCTAGTAGGGAACCCCTGAGTGGGGAGCTGATGCTGGCACTGGAATCATCATCACCCCCATGCCCCAAACTCACCCTCTGTGGAGAGCCCTGGCTCACATCCCTCCGGTGAGAAGGCTCTGGCTGTGGCAGAAGATGGTTATGTGACTCTGATGAAGACACAAAGGCTGTGCTAGCTGTCCGTCTCCTTCCTGGCCTCTCAGAAACACAACGTACAATGTTCTCTTCGCATTTGGACCTCTACATTCCAGAAATTCCCAGAGACAAGCAGCCCCCGCTCTCCCCCACCTTGGCCTGCCCAGCCTTCCCTGCTTCTGACTGCAGTCCTTCCCACAGCCACCGCCACGTCACTTCTCCCAAGAAGACCCCTTGGCACAAAATGCTTTGGCAAATATGCTCCCTCCTTTCCTTCCATTCATCTTTCTAATATCCCTTCTTTGTTTCTTTTTTTTTTTTTCAAGATTCTGGACACCGCTCTTGTGTGCAAGAGATACAGGCCTGGTGCCCTGCGTGCGCTCCCAGGCCACCTGTACTCTGGACAGACACTCCACAAATAAACAAAACCCTCCCTCCACAGTGCAGTGGGGGAGGGGAGGCTTCAGGCTGCAGAATGCGCCACATAGGGCACAGTACAGTCCTCTCCCTCCTGCTGCCCACTGACCCCAGCATCCACATGAGGCCAGCACATCACCACTCCTTGGTGGGCACCCGGGGACCGGGAGGACAACAAACTCCAAACAGTAGGAACTGCACCTTCCTTCGGTGGTTATTTTCCGCGCTACATAGTAGGCACTTAGCAAATATGCTGAATGAACAAGTAAATGTACCAACTACACCCAAGCCTGAGCTGAGGCTGGGGAGGAACAGGACCCAGGCCAAACAGTAGATTAGAGGTGGCAGCAGTGTGGCCGCCAGGATGAGCTGTGTGTGGCAGGTGTGTGGCCTCAGCGGGAGCCAGCAGAGCCCAGCACTGCAGACACAGACAGTGGCTATTGCCTCAGAGGTAAGATTGTATTTGAAGAGGTTTACTTCTAATTGGAACATATAAACAGGTAGGGATACAGAATAACATAATACAGTACTATGTATTACACTAGGAGATTCACTCAGAAAAATTATTTCCTTCCCATTGTTACATCTCATAAAGTATCACAAGAGACCCAGCATGGAGGCTGATTTCTGTCCCATGACAGGCACTGTGTGGTCAGCCAGAGGGAGCGGTGGGCACCTCTGCAGCCAGGGACTTCATAAGGACTGCAGTCTAAAGCCTGAGGGGCAGATCTTATTCTGAGAAAAAAACTAGGGAGAAAACCCAGGCCCAGGTCTGATACTGAGAGAGCTAGGACTGGAGTAGCTGAGACCTTAAGAAATGACTGTCAGCCGGACGTGGTGGCTCACACCTGTAAACTCAGCACTCGGGAGGCTGAAGCAGGAGATCACCAGGATTTCCATGCCAGCCTGGGCCACAGGGTGAGATCCTACCTCAAAAAAAAAAAAAAAAAAGCCAACTGTCACCATATTTTTAGGAATTTTTGAGTTAGTTAACACAGTTGCCACCAGTGGTTCTCAACTGCGGTGAATTTGCACCCCCGGGGATGTTTGGCAATGTCTGGAGACTTGGTGGTCCCAGCCGGAAGGAGGAAGGCTACTGACACCCAGCAGGCGGAGGTAGGAGTGCAGTCTGCAGGTCGCAGGGTTCCCAGCAAGCCATCTCCAGACCCACACGCTCCTAGTGCTCATGTATTGGGAAACACTTAGGATTAAACTGCTTTAAAGACAAGGCAGGGCCAGGGATACAGCTCAGCACCATAAGGGTCTGCCTGGCAAGCGCAAGGTCCTGCATTCCCTGGTACCAATACATACACACATACAAGGCAGTGCATACCCAGAACTTCTCACTCACTAAGGACCTCACTGAACTTCCCTGGGATGCCCGTGAGGTCCTGAGTGTCTCCTACAGCCATGTGGCGGGAAGTTACGCAATGGCACCTCCCACACACCTCTTCTCGGTTCCATGTTCAATGGCATCACAGCGGGAATGTGAAAGCCATGGTGGGGAATTGGCAGCATGGAAAACAGCAAATACCATGATTGCCCCACCTTCCTTCTTCTCTGAAAGCCCAGATGTCAACAGCAGAAAGAAGCAAAGAGAAGATCACAAGCTGACGGCAACCTTCTGCGTGCCAGCCCAGGCAGAGGGCTCAGCACCAACCCGCTCTATGCAGTGTGGAGGGAGGATCCGAAGGGGATCACACCCAGACCCCACCCATCGCGTGCACTCGTGCATGTGTTCACACACACACACACACACACACACATGCACACACACACATACATGCACATTCACACACACACATACATGCACACTACACCACAAGACATGTTCCTACCGATACCACATCCACCACACGGATACACAAAAAATGCACAAACAACAGATACCCTCCCACATCTGCCTGCCCACACCACAAACACAAGGAAAACATACCATACATCACACACACTATACCACACATCCACCAGACACCTGCCACACACCACATGCTTCAGGTGTCACACCACATGTACACCACACACTCAAACATACCACACACACTGTGCACACCCACCAATATTAAACACTCCCCTCACACATGCATCACACAGCCCACCCACTTGTCACCTATGACCTCAACACACACGCACCACAGACACACCACACAAACACTGTGTGCACCCATGTAGCCCTTTACCTAGCAAAGAAGTAACTTGAATAAAGAGAAAAGTAAGACCGCTGGCCCAGCCAACACTCCGGTGCTCCATCCTCATCCTCTGTGGTCTGGCCACTAAGGGAAAGATCTCAGTGCCCACCCAGGCAGCTATGGCAGCGCCGCTGGGGTTCTGGCTGATGGGTCCTCGCCCCGTTGTTCACCAGGCTTTTGTGGGCTATCAGCTGAATCTGACCCTGACTCCTTCCCAGCACCCAAGCCAAGCATTACCTGGGGGCTCCACCCAACAGACGCCGCAGCTGCTGCCAGACACTGCTCAACTCCAATCTCCACCTCCAGCCAGGCGCTCTGTGACACCACACCTACCAACCTTGGGATGTGGCTATTCTGCAAGTCCCAGGCAAACTTCCGGTGCACACAGTCCCTCCCTCTGTCTCTGTCCAGAGCTCGCACACAGGAAGTGTTCAGTGCACATCTCAGGGATCAAAGAATAACAGTGCAAAGCCCAAGGAGCGATGTAACACCAACTGCATGCTGTGGTAGCAAGGAGATCTTACCCCATTTTGCAGATGAGCCCTGAGCTGCAGTGGGTGTTCCAGGGCCAGCCAGGAGCACGGTGGACGTACAGGGCACCCCGCAAGATCCAAAGCAAAGGGCTGCAGGCTCACAGCAGCAGCCAGACCCAAGCCAGCCCTGCAGATCACTCTCCCCAGCCCGAGTGAAGGGTCAGTTACAAAGGAAAGGAAAAGGCGTTCCTGCTACGCGTCCTGTTTCCTCTCCTCCTCTGGGCTTCTCAGGCCATGGAGGGCGGATGTCCCTTGGCGGGCAGCACTCGGCCTGTGCACAGACAGGCTGATGGTAAGGGCATCCCTGGACCCCGTCCACCCCAGCAGTGTGTCCTGTGTGGACACTGGGGCTCCATGGAGCTCCTCGAGCTTCCCTTCCCATCCGGAGAGCACCTCCCACTTATCCTCACAGCCCGCACTTCCTGTCTATGAGTGAGTGTACCATGAAGCCACCGCCCCCTTGAAGCCTGCCAGGTTGCCCTCACTTGACGCAGGCCCCCCTACAACCCCCTAGCTTCCTGCCTTCCTGCCCCTAACTGCCCAGCTCATTCTGTGCCTGTACCTATAGGACCTGCGCTTTCCATGACTCAGAAAGAGGAGGAGGAGGCTCCCAAGGGCAAAGGCCATCACGTTGGGGTTTCTTACACGAGAGAACACGATAAGTCTCAGTAAATAGGGGTCCTTCCTGAGGGCAGCGGGCAGTCTCAAGAAGGGATCTCTCTGAGGAAAGTGGCCATGACTCCTCCATCAGATTGGAGGCTCCTGCAGGCCAAAGGTCAGGTCTCTGTGCCCGACAAGGAGCTAAGAGGGCTACATCAACCTCCATGTGATAAGCAGTCCCAGAGAACAGGGCCACAACCTTCAGCAGGAGGGTCTCTCCTGCAGGACGAGGCCATGCCTCCTCCAACAGACCTGGAGGTCCCAAAGGGCACAGTTCCCTTGTTCTGTCCCCACTGCAGTTCCAGAACAGACCTGAGCTCAGTCTAAGAATGGACATGAGCTCCCCTTCAGAGCAGAGATGGGAGGAATTCCACTCCTATCTTCCTGCACTAGCTCACACCTACATAGTCAAGGGAACTGAAGCCACCATAATTAAGGCAGCCATTGTATGAGCAGAGGCCAGAGACTGTCTGTGTGACTTTGAAGAGATGGCTACAGAGCCCCCCGCCCTGACCAGAAGGAGTCCAGGACAGGCCCTACACGTAGCTCTGTGCTTGTGTGACCAGGTGTGTGGCTTGAATGGGTGTCTATGAGCAAAACACTGTCCCCATGGCCAGTGATACCTTCCTCATCTCCAAATTACAGTGACACCGGCTCTGCTACAGTGGCACGGAGCACCAGGGAGGGGCTCCTGCTGTGACAGCAACACTGGCCAAGCCTGGGTGCTGTCCCTGAGCCTGGTCCAAGATCTTGTGCAAGCGTCTGCCCGCTCGCGCCAGCTCCGGGAGCTGCTATTAGTTAGCATCGATCCACAAAGTGCTCTGCTGACACATTTTATGAGCTCAGCCTCACACGTCCCTGGGGGCTGAAAGCAAAAGTTGGAAACCAAGATCAGGGAGCCGCGGAAGCAGCAGTCGGCAGTCGGAGTCAGGCCTCAAGAGCAAGACCTGTTACCTGAGTGGATCTTCAATGAAAAGCAATTTGCCTGGGCTTCATAACAATCTGGGTATATTTTTTTATTCAGAAATTATAAAAAAAAATTAAAAATAAAGAAAAAAGGGGCTGGGAAGATGGCTCAGTGGAATAAGCACTTCCCTGGCAAGCACAAGGGTCTGAGTTCAATCCCCGGTTCTGCCAAAAAAAAAAAAAAAGGAAAAGAAAAAGAAATTATAATTAGAACTGGATGTAGGGACACATGCCTGTCAATTCCAGCTCCTTGGGAGGCTGAGGCAGGAGGACCTACAGCTCTTGGTCAGGCTGGACAACATAACAATACCCCATCTCATAAATAGATAAGTAAATAAATATTATTTTTATTAGCTGATATTTAAGTGTTTAAGTATGTAAACACTGCATGAATTCATTTGATGCTCGTAAGAACCCTACAAAACAGATGCTTTTATTGTTCCAATCACCACACACGCATTTGAAATACTCTTTTATTTTTTTCCTACTGCAACCTGGCGTACAGATAGGCGAAATAATTTGCCCAAGCTCCCAGGGCAAGAAATAAAAAATGTAAGCATCTCAAGCCATCTGCTTAGAAAATTAAGAAATAAAAATAGGCCTGGGGTGCAGCTCAGTGTAGAGCACTTCCCTACCATGCATGAGATCTTGGGGTTGATTTCCAACACCATTTTTTTCTTTCAGTTTTTTATTTTTGGTTTTGGGGTTTTTTGTTTTGTTTTGTTTTGGGTTTTTTGTATAGGTCTCGCTATGTAGTCCAGGCTGACCTTTAACTCAAAGCCATCTTCCTGCGTCAGCCTCACGAATGCTGGGATTACAGGCGTGTGCCCTCATGCCTTGGACCCAACACCATTTTTTAAAAAGTAAAACACAATAACCATGGTACTAGATTTTTTAAAAATTAGTTACTGTTTTTCCTTCCCTAAAACAGTCTCACTCTGTAGTTCAGGTTGATCCTTAACTCACTATGTAGTTTAGGCTGGGCTCACACTCGTAGAGACCCTCCTGCTTTAGTACCACGAAAAACAGAACTAATTACTTTTAAAAATGCAGTTTATCCTTGTATGTTTCAAACCCAATACATTCATGATCGGACACAATGTGGCAGAGTTTAGGATGAAGATAAGTCTCCACAAGTGTAGTATTACAAATCAGAAAAGCGCTCACTTCTCTGGTATCTTAAAAGTCATAGTTATTCTTTTGAAGCTTTTTACCAAGTAGTTTAATTAGAAATTAGAAAACAAAGAATAAAAAGAAAAAGAATTTAGAAAACAAAGAACCTCCTAGTAATAATTAAGATTTGCAAGCTCGGGGACCAGGGTTTGATCCCCCACCCCTATCCTGTATGCTGTGCCCACCCTGCCCCTGGGGCGTGCTGAGCCCTTGACCAAGTCCAAGCGTGATGGCTCACACCTGTAATTCCAGTGCTAGGGAAGCCGAAAACAGAAGGGTCACTATGAGTCCAAGCTGCATAGAGAGACCCTATACCAAATACATAAAAAATAGGAGGAAAAAAAAAAAAAAAAAGATTTGCTATTCATTGGTTGGCTGGGTCCTGCCCACTTTACACACTTATGCTCATTTTGGAGGTAACTGGAGGGGAATAGGCATGAGTCCCATTTTACACAGGAGGAAGCTGGCTCCCAGAGAGCTCTGGGACAGACAAACTGCAGTTACCCAACCCACAGGAGGCAGCGCCAGCCCGCCACCCGCAGTGCCTGCCAATCCTCCTGCCCATGCTGATCCCTGAGCTCTCAGCAGGTAACCACCAAGGCCAGAGGCCCTCGGAGGGAGGAACATCTGGGGCAGCTCCCGACCTGCTCCCCAAACCACATCCTGGAGTTGGCAATAAACGTACCCAGGCCCCTCAAGCCTTCCACCTTCTCCTCACTTCTCCGGCCTCTTCCTAACTTCCACAGAGTGACACTCCCAGAAGCGCCGTGGTTGGGCAGGGCCCCGGCCTCATGGGCCCTGAAGTCCAGCTGGGGGAAGATGCCAGGAATCACGATTCATTTGGCACAGCCAGGGGCAGAGAAGCTGTTCCCTCCATGCCACTGTTCGGTGGCGCTCTCAGCGCACCTGGACGTGGGCTTCCGGGGGAAGCTGCGCGCAGGTGAGCTTCCGGAACACACTTCCCTAGGGCTGAGACAGCACCTCCTTTAACACTCCCACTGCCTACACTCAGATTTGCACCCTACTCCTGACTGACAGGCACTGTTGGTGTCCTGACTGTGGAGGTTCTGGGCAGCAGGGCTGAGCAGTCACAGGTCACATCCCTGAAAGTGAAAGTGAGGGGGCTCTGTTCTTAGCTTGGAGCCTCTCCCTCTCCCTCCCTCCCTCTCTCCGTCTCTGTGTCTGTCTGTCTATTTGTCTATCTATCCATTCCTGGAGATTGGAGATTGAACTCCAGGGCCTTTGCACTGAGTTACATCACCAATCATTTATTTATTTATTTATTTATTTATTTATTTATTTTTAATCTTTTATTTTGAGACAGGCTCTTTCCAAGTTGCTAAATTGTCCAAGCTGGGCTTGCAGCTGTAATGCTCCCCCCTTAACCTCCCAAAGTGCTGGGATTACAGGCCTGTGCCACCAAGCCACGTTTCAGAACAGCAGGGAGCACAGTGGGCCCGGCTGAGATGGGGCCTGGCTGAGATGGCCCTCTGTGTGCAGAAGGATGGGTGATTCCTGTACTGCCTGGCAGCCAATCCCCACTTCCAAGCTTTGCACCCTCCTCTCATCCTCACCATGGAAACAAGCTCCTATGTTCTGCTGGCTCCAGACCTAGCAGAAGGGGCCAGCGAGGGCTGAGGATACAGCTCAGAGGTACAGCGCTTGCCTGGCAGGTCCTGAGTTGATTCCCAAGAAAAATACACTTCATTGTGCCAGGTGTGGTGGCGCATGCCAGTTATCCCAGCACTTGGGAAGCTGATGCAGGAGGATCCCAACAAATTCAGGGCCATCCTGGGCTACAAAGTGAACTGAAGGCCAGCTGGAACTGCATAGCAAGACCCTGTCTCAAAATGACAAAGAAAAGGGGGGCAGGCAGCAAGAGGGGAGAGCAGCACACAGCCACCACCCGGAGGCCACAGAGTCCCTCGCTCCTCTGAGCCCCTGGAACCTCACCCTCTTTCCCCTGCTGGAAATGTGCTCTCCCCTTCTCTGAAAGTGTCAGCTGGCCTCTCCCATCTCCTTTCTCCTCCCCTGGTGTTCCCCAGGGAGCGGTGAGCTCAGGCTTTCCCATCAGCCATCCCAGGAATGCTGGGAAAATGCTCGTGGCTAGGAGCTGCAGGAGGCTGCCCCGGGGAGGGAGGAGAAGGCTGTCCTGGTGCAGAGCTCAGTCCTGTGCTTCCTCCAAGCCCTGGGCAGCTAAGAGCACAGACTGCCTATGCATGCCACACCTCTGAAGAAGGTGAGCTGAGCTCAGTTCCTGGCACAGGAAGGGGGGGGGGTTACACATGAGGAGGCCGAGGCCTAGAGAGAGGAGGGAAGGGCGGGGGATATAGCTCAGCAGCCAGCGGCCCAGCTCCTGCCTGGCATGCATGAGGTCCTCAGTTCAATTCCCAGTACCAAAAAAAAGGAGGGGAGGGTGCACAAGGACCTGTCCTAAGGCCATCTTGTCTCCTTATCACACACAGCACGGTATGTGTGGAAGCAGAGTAACACTGCGACCATGGTACCTCATATGGTGGATGGGATTTTGCAGAAGTGACTACATCAAAGACCCTGTGACAGCGACACTGT